AAGAGAGCCCCAGAGGAGCCTCAAATCTCAAAGAGCAGAAATGAAAGTCAACAATCCATCCATTAACATACATGAAATGGAAACACTTATACAACCCAAAAACAAACAAAACACACAAAACACTCGAACGCGCGTAAAGTCTATGTCACCTCCTTCAGTAAAACCCTAAAGGGAAAAGAATAGAGGATTTCGTGTATTTATACTTGGGACCGCGTAAGTTTTATCATTTACGTAAAGTAATAGAAATCACTTTAGTACTGAAAGTGAAGGTGTGAAGTGAAAAACCACCAGAACTTCACATGTTATATTAATCATTAGAACATTTACAGTAAATGTTACGGTTTTGACTTTTGCTTTATATATCCAACATACTAATTCCAGGATTTGAACTATTTTCAGCACTGACAACTACAGAAGAGACCCAAGCCAGTCCAGCACCTTGTGATAAAGACGTAGAAAATGATGAGAAGAAAGCTGTATTTCGAGCAGAATGAACTGATGAGCAAGTCTTTGGCCTAGACAATTGACGCTGGCAACACTTTGCCGCTGGACAGTGAGCACCTCTATCTGCTGAAGATGTGCAATTCGAGTGATGAGGCGCTAGATCCCAATTGTGAGGTAACACCACATGGAGCTGTGGTTGGTGACAAGGATAATCTTGTCGGTGATCATGTACTCGACCTTGGAGATCCCATGCACGACAAAGAGGACCTCTCGCTCTGACAACTTATACTTCAACTCGGCGCCACAAAGGACTCAACGCAACCACATGATCGGAGCAAAGACGGTGGAAGGACCAATACGTCCGTCGTCAGATGGATCACCCAGATGACAGAAGACTGACGCCGCCACCGCGTCACCTGCGTCGGAAACTAGGATGAGGGATCGGGATGGGTCGTACCGGACCATCACTTGCTGTTTCATGGCGCATTCTCAGAGGATTCTGCACCCAGTAACGGCCCTGCTCCACAACGTGACCAAGCGTTATGAATCGACCAACGAATACATAGAGCTTCTCCATCATGAGTGTCCCACTGTGATATGAGATTCGGCTGAAGAGACTTGAGAGGTCAAGAAGATGCTCGTCGAAGTTGGGACTTCCTGCCCTGAAGTCGTCAACGTACTTTTTGAAGTGGTGACCGATATCCCGTTCGCTGCCAGGGGCTCTGATGTTCTGATACATCTCATCAAAGGCGGCTCCCAAGTGATCTCCCGCATCTGTCAATCCCACTTGGTATGACACCGTACTCAAAGACTCTGTCCAGGAAGCGAACAGCCGTCAGCCACAGGAGGCTTTGTGAAGGGGCACAGATAAATAAATCTTCAAGTAATCCCCACAGTTGTGGACCTGAAACTCAACGGTCTCCGCAAAGTAGTTGTCGATATGGGGAAGCGGATGACGGTATGGGACGATAAGATCGTTGACGGGCCTGAAGTTGTGGACAACCATGAGAGCGGTGGTGCCGGGCTTGGGCACGCAGAACGCGTCGGAGGAGACGCAGGAGTGGCTGGGCTGGTGTCGTTCACCCATCACCTTGCAGTACTAAATGAGGATAGCAGCATGTTTGGGATTGTGCCAACAATTCAGAGCGGAGGGCCGCTGGGAGATGTCCGGACGCAGGACAAGACGGGCGGGCTCAACGCCGGCCAGGACGTTGGGAAAGAAGCTACGGGGGCGGATGATGTTGCGGAAGCGCGAGAACAAGATCATCAGCTTGTCCGACCTCCGTCTGTTCTCCTCGCAATCCTCTACCTGCACGCAGATTCCATCACTGAGGTCGATCTTCATCAGCGGAGGCAAGGGCGGCATCTGTGACACCATTTAAGCTTCAATCTTGACGACCATTGGGCAACCCATCCCGCCGCGAGATGCATAGGAGTGGTCGGGGTGACTCGGTCCTAGCTGCGGGTCGTCGCTATCCACGAGATGAGTAACATTGGTGCATGGGGCGTGAGGATCGAGGCACTTGTCGACCGCGCCCGCGAACTCCTCCTCGACGGGATTAAGGGATAGTTCTCACGTGGTAAGGAGAAAAACCCGAGAGACGTGAGGACGGAGAACGTCCCATTCCTCCTTTGGAATGGATTCCTGGACCTCCATCAGCGGGACGTTCATATTTGCAACAAGTTGCCGCAGAGAGGCAGTTGGGAGGTGCCCGGCTAGTACCGAGCTCTCCAGCGTGGGGGGACGAGGCAGAAGGCTCCAGTCAGGCCAGACGTTGTCGAACCGATTGAGCATTGTTCCCAGACTAGCTCCCTTGTACCAGACGGTTCGCACAGCTCCACCAAGGTCGCAACGGACTTCGCGGTCGTCGGCCTAGAAAACAGCTCGGCTAGGGGTCGCTATGAAGCCCTCGCTGAGATCTGGAAGTCTTTGGCAGTGACGGAAGTCCAGTCCAAGGAGGAGATCGTCCGTGAATCATTTCAGGACGACGGCAGTGACGGAGATGGAGACCAAGTGGAAGCAAACTCGCCCAAGGACCGGGACGGCTTCGCTGTTGACCATGCTGAGCTCGCAGGCGAACGTGAAGAGCTCGAATTTTTAACCCGCACCTCATGACAGTGGCCATGGAGATGCAATCTAATGAGGCGCCATTGTCGTGGATGGCGCGTATGACATGGCCGGCGATCTGGACATTGGAGTGACAGGAGCGTCTAGGGATGGGAACATCCTCTCGCAGGCGTCTCTTCATGGTGACGAGGCTGAAGACTCCCAACCATGCGTCTGGTTCGTGGTGTGCTCACTTCTCTCGCTTCTCTTCAAAGGCGGGATAGGCCAACTCGGTCTCAATGCGGCCGACAATCTTGAAGGCTCGGGCAGTGTCGCCTTGTGGATTGGCTGCTTAGTAAGTGCGAGGTTTGTGTCGGGATGGTTGGCGAGGGCCCTGAGCCTTGATCAAAGAATAGCGGGTTCATCAGCGGCAGGCGGATCAGGAACGGGAAGCGGCGGTCAAGAGTCAAGCACCGAGGGGGGGATGTTTAAGGGGATGTCTTGGGGAGGCGGGGACGCGGGCAGTGTTGGGGGTCGGGACGGCGCGTTTTGGGGCGTCGTCAACGAAACGCGCCGTCCTGGGAGGGCTCATTGGATCTGATCAGAACGGTGATCACAGTGCAGGGAAGAAGCTTGGCAGCGGGATGAACAGCTTGGGCTTTGACGGTGACGATGCAAGAGGGCTTAGAGACGGGGCGAGGAAGAACGATTGTGGAGGTTCAGTGACGGCTGATGGGCTGGTAGGGGGCGGTCGTTTGACGATGGGTGGATAAGCGATATTTGGCCCGGAACATGGAGATGAGGATCCCGCCAGTGTAGGGGGAACGACTCCGGCGTCTCGAGCCTGGCAATAGGCTTGCCAGTGACCCCGAGCCGTCGCGAAGTGGGACCTGAGGTCGTTGTTGGGCTTGATGAGGAACAGAGAGTTTCTGGCCTTGCTTATCTGAGTGAGGGGGTTGGCATTGAATAAGTCCCGGAAGAGAGCGAGAAGCTTCGTGAGGTCATCGGTCTTCATGTTGACTGACCAGAAGGCATCAACGGACGGCGTAGCGTAGGCGGACTGGCAGAGGGCCATTCTCCAGAGTTCGAGCTTCTTCGTCTCGGTGACAGCATTGTAGCGGGGATAGAGGTTGTGGATGGCGTTGATGTACGTCTCTGGAGAGGTCTTCTGTGGATTGAAGAGCGGGATCGCGAGAGGCTCATAGTCTGATTTACCCCGATTCTCCATGTGAAATACACGTAGAAAATGAGGAGAATAAGGCTGTAGTTCAAGCAGGATGAACTGATGAGCAAACGTTTGCTAAGATACAGGTGAGAATAAAAAGCATAAAGAAAAGAAAAGAAAAGAAACGATCAAAGTGAGACGACGGGTTTGAGGAACAGCATCAAGAGGAGAGAGGCGCCGTGGGGATTCGATTCTCTACCAGACGGGAAAGAGGAAAGATCCACATACCAGTATTTCAAGCAGGATGAACTGCCCGAACTGCGATGTGCGGCCCCCTTCTTACACCATCAAACTTAATACACCAACAACAAAAGGAGAGGAAAGAACAAGGCGCGGCAAGGATCTTGAAACAGAGGGATGAACAACATAAAAAGGGGAAAAGATGGAACGCGGCAACAGGAAAGAAACTGCGAGGATAAGGAAAGGAAAAGACAAAGACAAAAAAGACGTGAAGGAGAAATGGAACGACAATGAAGGCAACTCGGATAATGCGAAGAGAAGCGAAATTCTCGCTCGATATGACAACCTCCAGCTCCTGCATCCCCATCCGCTGTCACCTTAATACCTACTATCGCACGCACCATCCAAGTGCCAGAAACCACATTTACATCACTTTCTTCAACTGCTCCCCTTCAGTCTCAAACCCCGCCCTACACCGCATTGCTTCAGCTCCATCCCCAGGCACTCCCATTACAAAACGCAAGCTCAAACAAGCCCTTTCAAAATGACTCCAACTTAATATCATTTAAGGGTTACTTATGCTTGCTAATGTTGAGTAGTGGCGACACTTGTTGAGAGATATGTTTAAAACTTGAAGGAAGCGCTGGGGCGACATGTCAGTGGAAGTCAAAGGTAGTTGAAGGTGATGAAACTAAAGCATAACGCTGTAACTGCAGATTATATCATCCGTATATATGTTTCCGATAACGTTATAGACTTACTTTCAAAAATTATAATAATGTGAGGGACGTGGTCGAACATCTTCCACACATATTTTACGAGGAAAAAAGGAACTCCAATTTACCAAACAGGTGGGGATGAGCAGGTTCTTCTGGAGTCTAAAGATAATTGGAACTTACAACATGGTGAGGGTTGCGCTCGACGTGTTGCTGTTTGCATTCCGGAAGAAAAGTTACAACAAGATGGCCGTTGCGCTGGAAGTGTCGCTGTTCTCATCCAGAGAGAATGTAGACTAAAAAAAGCAAAAAATGCATTGGCCGGGAATCGAACCCGGGGCTAACCGATGGCAACGGTTAATTTTACCACTAAACCACCAATGCAGAGTCCCTTCAACCAGGATCGAACTGGTGACCTCCTGATGATTGTTTGGTATACACAAAGTTACAGTCAGATGCTCTTCCAGCTGAGCTATAAAGGGAAGACATGCTCTGTGTGAGACTCGAACTCACGGCCTTCGGATTATGAGACCGACGCTATACCAACTAAGCCAACAGAGCGGGAAGTAACTCCGATACGGGGAATCGAACCCCGGCCGCCGCCGTGAAAGGGCGGAATCCTAACCGCTAGACGATATCGGAAGAATAAAATGCCCACTACCAGAATTGAACTGGTGACCTTTCGCTTACGAGGCGGACGTTCTGCCACTGAACTAAGAGGGCATACTGCTCCGCACAGGGATCGAACCTGTGACCTTGGCGTTATTAGCACCACGCTCTAACCAACTGAGCTAGCGGAGCGACGAAAGAATGGTCCCGTCCAGGTTCGAACTGGAGACCTTTTGTGTGTAAGACAAATGTGATAACCACTACACCACGAGACCGCTTTTAAGAGACTAAGTCTCAAATCTCCCAGTCCGGGAATTGAACCCGGGTCTCAACCGTTCAGGTCATCAAAGATGATTGACAGGGTCGGATACTAGCCACTATACTAACTGGGAAGAGTAGAAACGCTCCTGCGTGGACTCGAACCACGAACCTTGACGTTAACAGCGTCACGCGCTAACCAGTTGCGCCACAGAAGCTGTTAAAATTCTTGTCTTATTGAAAATCTGTACGACACTGAGCGAGACCCTGCTGACGCCAGAGAAGGAAGAACCTAGACGACGAGCGACGACCACCTCAGCGGACTCCTCCCGCCGGATGACCCAGATCCGAACAAAAACGCAAAAAGAACAACTGACAACAAACGATTGGAAGGAGAATCGCTTACCCGAGACTCACACCATACTGAAGATGTCTATATGGAAGTCGAAATCCATCTGGGCGACGATCTGAGCAGTCCCTTCACATTCAGTACACCAGAGTCTTAGAGGCAGTTCCATATAGTCAATGGTAAGGTAGTGGTTGCTGGAACCACTGCCAAGACTTAGACGAATGCGGTTGCAAGAGAAGCCGAGATTCTGAAACAGATAAGTCAAGCGGGTACCGCTGAAGACCTGAAGATCATAGCCAACGGCTTCCCTCTCACCCAGGTTACGCCTACTATTATCAGTAAGTTCCTCTCCCTTCTTGGAGTGCCTGCACTGTGATGGCCGCCATCCTAACAGTGGGAGGACCAGCAAGGCACATTGTACGACGATGGAAAAAGGGAAGAACAACAAAAAGAGGCCCTGAAAAGTGACAAAATAAATATGTCGTATTTAGTTTTAATTGTATTATAATAAATTTAGTGACATGATTAGTTTTAAATCCCCGTAAACCTCATCCTCAGCAATACTATACTCTCCTAACCGTGCATATCTAGAGTCAAAGTAGAAATCTTTGATGTCCCGCGCAATGCAAGGCAACTCCTCCACGTTGACCTCGTTGATAGAAATCGAGGACTGTACTGCAGAAAAGTCAGAAGTATTGATCTAATATATCCATTAATCATCTTATAACTAACCCTAACCCTAACCCGCACAGTTAAGGCTGACACTGAACGTAAACCATCATACAGCAACATATAAACTTCTAACTCTTTACTATGATGGAAGTTATGGCTGACACTTGACGGACGTAAAACAAAAAGCAAATTACAGTGTATCTCTCAACACCTTTGAAACAGAACCTTCGCGGATAAGGCAGTGGATCCTCTAAGCCGTAATGCTGCTCTGTTTCATACAATGCATTCTTTTAGCGTCCAACCTGTCTTGCCATTTATAATTGGTCTTTTGTGATCATGGCACGGAGAAACAACTATTCACATTCGTCGATGCAGCTACTGTAATGAATTTGATATATATAGTGACCCTAAAAATGGACTCAAGTAACGCGAATCTGTGATGCGGACAAGCTCCAACAGATTGGCAATGAAACAGCAACTATCAAAATCACTAAAAACCTTTTCTTCATATAGAAGAATATATACAGCTGGGTGATTTTTAAGAGAGGAAGTTATCGATTGACGACTATAAGTCATGCTTTAGTTACCGGTAGATATTCTGTGCAGCAAAGAAGTAATTATACAAATGGCGGGTCTCCACTTTCTTACTGGACGTACTCTCAGTACAGCCAAGTGATTAAGATGTACGAATCGGTTTCATGTTGTGTTTCGTGTACAATTATTTGCGTGCCTACAGTCCGTGCCCGCACATGCCCACACGTACCACACATGTACGCCCTTTTCAGAACCTTTCATTACGCGTCCGAGACACTGCAGACGCGTTCTGTTTTACGCATTGTTACAGCGGGCTCAGTCCAAATTCCTAGTTCTTCAAGCGGGCTAGATGCTAAGCCATTCAAGATTTACAAGATATTGCTGTAAATCTCAAACCCTTATGTTATGCACGTTCATATGCATATTGGGGCGATCCGCGCGTGATTCGGATGAACTTTTCGGATATTGCTTTCCGGTTTTCGAACAGACTTATCTGGATCCTGAAAATCTCTCAGCAGACACGAAATTGAAGAAATAGAAAAATTAGTAAGGCTAAAGTCGGACGGCAAGGCTTGTGATTGCATTCTAAAGACGGTAATGCCTGATCCTCAAGACTCACCACAATATGCAGGAATCATAAATATGTAATATACAAAAACTGGAAATCGAAAGAATTATCAAGCGATCATGGGTAAACGTGTTCGAGAATATCAACAGAAAAAGTGAGCGCTTTCAGAGGAACTAACGAGAATGCTAAGCAGAGAAAAAGGGTGAAATAAGCGGATCAAACGGAACAAAAATAACAAAAATATTGAAATATGAATAATGTAAATAACAGAAGAGACCAAAGATGAACGGGAAGCGAGGTCTTGAGAGCATGTGCAAGTTGAGTTTACGCGCGTGATTGTTTGGCCCACACACTATGAAATTAGATCCAAAACGATAAGGTTTGCTAGTCGAACGTTATTGAGATCCAAACTCTAATGTGCCGCGGGTGCGACAGCAGGCTTCGGAGAAGACCCCAACGTTGCTCCAGCACTCTTTCTCCGCAACCCGCTCCACCATCGGTCGTCCTTGATAGAGTCAGCGAGTTGCCCCATACTGAGACCCTAAAACGTGACGGAGATGACGTGAGTTACAAGTTTTTTCACTCAAACAAAGCCTTCAGGGCTACAAACCTTTTTATACCATCCACCTTGCAACGTTTTTACAAACTTCTTGGCTCGGTAAGGCGATTCTGACCAAAGAGCCAAAAGCACAGCAAAAAATTCCACAGCATCCCTAACTGCCGTCTCCCTCGCAATCGAACCCTCTGCACTCGAAATAGCACTATCTAGAAAGGCCGCTCCAACTCTCAGCACGTCTTTCGGGAAATTCTTATCTTTTGGTGCGAGATGTATCAAAGCATCGGCGTTTGTAAGGAGATCTGCAGCATCCCAAGGCGGCAGGGATCCGCTCTCCTTCAAAATGGTAACGGGCGCCACGAGTTGCTGGGCTAAAGATCTCATACCGAGGTCAGTGCTGTGAGGCGAGTGGCGAACGCTGCTGGTGAAAGAGGGCGACCCCGGACCTGCTGACGGGCCAAGACCAGATACAGCGACGGAGCGTGGAAGGGTGGAAGATGAGAGGGAAGCGGCGGCAGAGGAACGAAGAGCGGCGTTTTCCGGTAATGTGGATGCGTTGACAATAGAAGCTTCGTGTATCTCTATTGTGGGTGTTGGAGGGACACTAAGAGGGGATTGCGGTTGGCCTTCTGTAACGCTCAAGACTGCCGCAGATTCTTTAACAGTGGGTGGAGAGGGTCCAGCAGGAAGGGCGTCAAGGGAGATAGTCGTGAAGGCAGTCGCCATTGGGGACTCTGTCTCCTCAGGAAGAGATTCTAACGAAGACCGTGCCGTGAAATCCGGTGTACTTTCTAGTTCAAAAGCCCCTGTTACTGGTGCGCTATTCCGTCTCTTCAGCGGATCGAGAATATTGGGTATTGAAGCTCGTTTCATATGATCGGCTGTGTTGGTTGCGGCGGTAGTAATGGCGTGAGTGAACTGAGCGGTAAGGGTGGCGGTTGTGCTGGCGACGGCAGATGCTGCAGAGACAAAATCGGCGTTCAAAGTAGAAATAAGCTGAGGTATCCGTTCTTCTCCTTTTCGGTTGTCGGTAGATATTCTGGGCTTCTCTGCAGGAGCATTGGCGTAATTTTGATAGGAGGAATCTTGGTGACTGTTTGTAATTGAGAAGGGTGAAAGCGGCACATCTTCAAATTGAGGTGTCCGCGCTTCACCGAGATCAGCCTGAGTCAAGACAGACTTTGAATTTGATCCAGAACTGTCGATGGACGAAGCGTCGTCTGTCCCTGTCACTTGAATAGTGATGTCGACGGAGGAAGGCATGTTTGGAGTGGTAGTTTGAGCGTGGGAAGTGTAGAAGAGAAAATGGACAGCTCAAGGATTGTTGTGAGGCCTTGATACTGCTACGGATGCTCTATAACAAATAATAGGTCTATGCAAAATGACGACGACGACGACGGTGTTGGATGATGTTTTACGGATGACTTTCAACCAGACAGCCCTATGAATAAAATGTTTGTGTTGCTATGACTTGATTTTGGAAATGTTGCAGACTGCCGTCCACCCAGGAATAAGGTGGCGGTTGTTTGTGAGATGTGCGGAGGTTTGTGGTCATCATGCCTTTCCCATCGTTGTTTGAGAACCTAAATGTTGACGAGTATGGGTCATGATGGTGGGTGCTGGTGGTGGTGGTAAAGGTGGGGTGTATTGATGGTATTAAAGTGCAGCCTTTCTCAACGACTGAAGATTTAGTGATCGAGTAATTTTACGATGTCGATGACAGCGAGTATGTTGTATCAAGCCCATAGAAAGTAAACAATATCTGCAATACAGAGGAGGATTATTCGATTTCGATGCGCGGAGAACGTGTTTATTCTTTGTTATCATTTGCATCTCGAATAAAGAAATAATCATTTAATTGTTACTCGAGAGCAATCATCTCCAATGTGAAGTATTACCTCAATATATTCGACTACGTTGGCACTCTCCTGCAGATGCACATTCAGGCAACTATGAACGTTGTGGGCTCAAGTTCAAAACTTCGGCATTTCTTTCTCTGACAATGTCATCCAAACCACTTAGCAGCCCGAAACTCAGAGAGCAGGAGATACAGAAGGCTGCTGCGGTTTAAAGAGATGACGACAATGCGGAAGGGATGACGAGGAGGAAGTTACGGCTGCTCCTTCCAAAAAACAAAATATCTTTTCCATCGGCAGGTATGCTGGTGCATCTTCCTGTCGATCATCGCTTACCTCACACTGCCTTTCCTGTCCAGACAAAGTTGACGAACAAGAAAAAGAACAAAAAGAAGGGCAAATCGAAGGCGGATGATACTGTTGAATCCGACTCGCGGAAGAAAACGATTGAGCATGTAGGATATATCAAACGTCGAACATCATGTTCCAAAATACATTCGATTTTCATTTGCATCTACTGGTGCCTCGCCTGACTCCTTTTGTCCCTTTCTTCTCCTCTCATCATTTTCTCCTTCTCTTCACTTTCTCATATAAAACAT